TCTCAACCCAATGATGCATCCAATCCTTCACAGGTAAGTACTTCGTCTCCTATATCTTCTAATTCTTCTCCCACTATTAACGAACCCCATCACTATAACACTAGACTGCGTAATAACATTATAAATCCAAAACAAATCCTTAGTCTCCACTCTACCATCATCACTCCTAATACCGAACCTACAACCTATAAACAAGCTCAAAAACATCAAGAATGGCGCCTAGCCATGAATGATGAATATAATGCCTTAATTTCCAATAATACATGGACTTTGATTCCCCGTTCTCCAACACAAAACATTATTGGGTGTAAGTGGGTCTACAAAATTAAGAGGCATCCGGATGGGTCGATAGCTCGTTATAAAGCTCGTTTAGTAGCAAAAGGGTTTCATCAACGCCCTGGAATTGATTTCGATGAAACTTATAGTCCTGTTGCTAAACCAGCAACAATTCGGATCCTCCTTTCAATTGTTGTGACTAACAATTGGCAACTTCGTCAACTTGACGTGAATAATGCGTTCTTGCAGGGATCTCTAACTGAGGAAGTATTCATGGAACAACCTCCTGGATTTATCAAACTTGATCTTCCTAATCATGTTTGTAAATTACGAAAAGCTATGTATAGACTTCGACAAGCTCCTCGTGTTTGGTATCATGAACTCTATCAGTTCCTTATCTCTAAAGGGTTTACAAATTCTCTCTCTGACACATCCTTATTTATGCTTCACTCTTCTACCTCAGTTCTTTATTTGTTGGTATATGTTGATGATATTATAATTACTGGATCGTCAAGTTCTCATATGAATGCTTTCATCTCCACACTTGCGCAACGTTTTTCTCTCAAGGATCTTGGCAGGCTTTCTTATTTTCTTGGAATTGAAGCTCACCATACAGGAACATGTCTCTTTCTATCTCAAAGGAAATATATACGAGATCTTCTGAATCGTTTTCATATGGCTGATGCTAAGTCGGTTTCTACACCCCTTGCCACCAATGAAGCTCTTAAACTCTCTGATAGTTCACCCCGCCAGCTGATGCCACATTATATCACCAAGCTCTTGGATCGTTGCAATATATTTCTTTAACTCGCCCCGATGTCTCGTTTGCCATTAACAAGCTTTCTCAGTTTATGCATTGCCCTTCAACAATCCATTGGTGTGCCGTCAAACGCTTGCTCCGTTATTTAACAGGGACTCTTGACTACGGCCTGGCTCTACGTAAGAATTCCCCTCAAACTTTTCATGCCTTTGCAGATGCAGATTGGGCTGGAGACCCTAATGATCGAACATCGACCTCCGCCTATGTAGTCTTTCTGGGTGCTAACCCAATCTCTTGAAGTTCAAAGAAACAAAAAACAGTTGCTCGATCTTCTACCGAGGCTGAATACCGTGCAATCGCCTCCACCGCAGCTGAGGTCAATTGGGTCATGAATCTTTTTCAAGAGCTACGTGTGCCTCTATCTCCTACTCCGGTCATCTATTGTGACAATATAAGTGCTACATACGTATGTTCCAATCCAGTTTTCCACTCTCGAATGAAGCACATAGCTATTGATTTTCACTTTGTACGAAAACAAGTCGCCAATGGTCAACTTCGTGTTTCTCATGTTCACACTTCTGATCAACTTGCTGACTCACTCACTAAGCCATTGCCTCGTCTTCATTTTCTTGCACATCGTTCCAAGATTGGCGTCCGAAATGGCCAGTCAATCTTGCGGGGGCATGATAGATCAATGGAATTAAGAGATGCTATTGTCAAGGCATAATTGATACATACAATTATGCAGCAGATTCTTTGGCATCAAATATTACTTCATTCATTATGTAATATTATATATATATATATATATATATATATATATATATATATATATATATATATATATATATATATATATATATATATATATATATATATATATATATATATATATATATATATATATATATATATATAGGATCCATTTTCATTTTATAGATAAAAACCTACGTGTATATATCAGTGTTCTAAAAATCGGCCGAGGCGGCCGATTAATCGGTCGCCGAGGCGGAGGCGGTCCAAAACCTTTACGATTTTAGTGTAAAGGTTTGAAAAATCGGTTTTTTGCCTGTGAGGCGGTTTGAGGCGGTCCGAGGCGGTCTGAGGCGGTCCCAGGCGGTCAAACCTTTAAGGAGGGTCAAACTTCGGTGGCAAAAATAGGTCAAAAATCGGTTTTTTTTCTTTTTTTTTTTTTTTTTATAAATCAAAATAAACGTTGGGATTTTAATAAAAAAAAATGAGTTTATGCTTTATTTTGTTTATGTTAATTATTATTGTTAAAGAACTAATGATGTATGCCAAGAATGTATGTAAATTCAAAAAAAAATGCCTTTTTATTTATATTTTATAAGGATATTTATGTATTATGATCTTATTATTATTAAACTTTTATTATGTTATTAGAATATATACATGATCGAGATATAACTATGTTTAAATATTTTTTATCTATGTTTTGAGTATTTATAAATAATATCTACAAATATATTATATTAAATTTTAAAAACCGATTTATTTCCGATTTATCACCGATTAATCACCGCCGCACCGATTAATCGTGAGTCGGTGCCTGACCGACTTGGACCCGATTACTGATTTTTACAACCTTGGTATATATTACTTGTAAAAGAATGGAATAAAACACACTGGTAAAAATACCATTTCTTTATGGGCATATTACAAATAAGCCCATCAGTGGGAACTTATTCATAAAGAGATCCAAACAATATTCTCCTTTACCAATAAGTCCACACATGGTCCAGATTTATGTAAAGGACTAAAATAACCCCTCTTACTTTAATATGCTCCAATTTCATCCTTAACTTACTTTAACTTCAATTTGACCCCAACTTTCACAAATTATTCAATTTTGACCCAAAACTTTTTTTTTTTCACAAATTTTTTTTTTTCAAAAACTTTTTTTTCCCGCCGGATTCCGGCGTTGACCGGCGGTCAACGCCGGTCTCCGGCGTTGACTTTTTAATTTTTTTTTATTTTTTTTTTATTTTTTTTTTTTCCTTCCGGATTTTTTTTCCGGATTCCGGCGTTGACCGGCGGTCAACGCCGGTCTCCGGCGTTGACTTTTTAAATTTTTTTTTTTTTTTTTTTTTTTTTTTTTCTGTAACTTTTTTTTCCGTTTAAACAGCAATATTGCTGTGAATGACAGTAATATTAACTATATTACTGTTAAACACAGTAAAATTAACTAAACTATAGTTTTACACATTGATATTGCTATATTAATCTCTAGCACATTAATATTAACACAACAAAATTCATTATTATTGTATAATAAAGTAATATTACTATGTTGTCCGTTCAACAAATGTAAACAAAATAAAAAAAACCAAAAGAATTAATATTACTGTGAGTGACAGTAATATTACTATAGCAACAGTAATATTACTATAGCAACAGTAATATTACAATAGTAGACAGTAATATTATTACGTTACATCGTGAATAACTCGAACAAAACAAACACCCCAAAAAAATAATAATATTGATGTTGTTGACAGTAATATTATTGTGTTTACAGTTATTTTACTGTCAACGACAGTAATATAATTACGTTGACTTGTCAACAAATCAAAAAAAATAAAAAAAAATAATAATAAATAAAAAAATATAATATTGCATTAATTTACTGTCAACGGCAGCACAATTACATAAATGTAATGTCAACGGCAGTACAATTACGTTAATTAACTATCATTGACAGTATAATTACGCTAAATTACTGTCAGTGACAGCACAATTACGGTCAACGTGTAGCGGCGGGCGTGGAAAAACAAAACAAACCAAACAAAAAAAAAAACTTAAAAAAACACTAAAGAAAGAGACCGCCGGAAACCGGCGAAAAAATCCGGAAGAAAAGAAAAGAAAAAAAAAAGAAAAAAGAAAAAAAAAAAAAAAGTCAACGCCGGAGACCGGCGTTGACCGCCGGTCAACGCCGGAATCCGGAAAAAAAATCCGGAAGAAAAAAAAAAAAAAAAAAAAAAAGTTTAAAAAGTCAACGCCGGAGACCGGCGTTGACCGCCGGTCAATGCCGGAATCCGGCGGCAAAAAAAAGTTTTTGAAAAAAAAAAATTTTTTGAAAAAAAAAAAAATTTTGGGTCAAAATTTAATAATTTGTGAAATTTGGGGTCAAATTGAGATTAAATTAAGTTAAGGATGAAATTGGAGCATATTAAATTATACTCCAAAAAAAAGTCAAAATTGAATTTTTGTGGTCAAAATTGAACTTTTATGGACAAAATTGATTAATTTGGATTACAATTAAGAATTGGGTATAAATGATTGAGGGTAATATTGGGATATACATGAATGTTTCCTTTAGTTATAATAAATATTAAAGGGATGGGCTTATTGGTGAAAGAGATATGTCCCCTATACCTAGAATAATAAACATGCTTGGTTGGGGACTTTTGCATAAAAATCCCTTTCTTTATTATTACCCAAAAATGAAAAAAACAAAATCAACTATTTTGAGCTACAAAAATAAGGTTTAACTCCTCTAAAAATAGCTGAATTTCCCTCCGTTTTCTCTGTCTATTTTCCCTCTCTTTCACACACACACACGGACACACAATTCCACATTTTTTTCCGACTCCAAGTTGAAACACATTATTGCGGGAGATTCTCTAATTAGGGGAACTTTTTGAATCCGCTGAATTATTTGAAAACTCCTCTGCCTCTTTCAATTTTCTCCTCTGTATTTTGCCTTTTCCAATAAGGAAATAAAAAAAGGAAGGAACAAATCATTATTCAAACTTCATTTTTTTTATTTCTAGTTTGAATTTATCTCGCGAGTTGAAGATTTTTCTTAAAAGCACGGATTTAAATCCGTGTTTGGCTGGAGCTCCATTTGGCTGCTTTACTAATCTTTTTGTCTTGGATTCATCGCGTTCGTCGAGCTTTTTTTTTTTTTTTTTTTTCTTTTTTTGGGGAGAAAGTGCTTTTTCTTTGAACAGAAAAGCAGTTTTTATTGACAATTCGGTTTGCATTTGGAGCTTAGAAGATAAAATCGTGTGCGGAGTTCCAAATTTGAATTTTGATGTGCTTTTTCTCGAACTCCGCCGGTAAATTTGCTGCTTCTGGGGAAATAGTTTATGTGGACAATATTTGTTTGTGACGTATGATTTTGGAAGACGTGTATATCTGAAAAAAATAAAATATTTCTTCTTGTATGTTGATCTATATTTTTCTTGCTATGTGTTACGTTATCATGCTACATGCTATACCACCTTTTCATCATTAATAAACTTAATATGATTATTTTTTTCCTATGCAACCGCTAATCTTTTGGTTAATTTATTAGAAAAAAATTACAACATAAATAAATAGAAAAGAAAAAAATAAATTTGATAGCGTAGCTTTGAAATGCAATAAACAGCTGGATAGTCATCTTGTCTTGTGTCATCATATACATCATTGTGAATTTGATTATAAGAAGATTACCGACTTTGGTTGGCTGATCGGCTTATTGAAGTTTGTGTTTTTGTTGAATCGGAGTTGTAACTTTTTTTTTTCCTTTTGGCATAACTGCTCATTATTTAATCGCATATCTTTCTTATATGTTCTTACTTCTTATAGTTGTCTCTTCGAGAATTGCAAATTATTGATTTTGTATCAATCGACTTAATTATGCAGAAATTTTAATATCGATGTAGTAAATGCATATAGCATTGCGTATTACTACATGTATCTATATGTGAGTACAAATGTATGATATGTTTGTATGAAGATATCTTAAAGACATATGCACGTGAAATTGAGATTAGTTATTTTTAATTGATATTGTGACTAATTATCGGAGTGTACTTTTTATTATTATTATAGGAAAATTCATCAAATTGAGTTGATTTGAAGTTATTGTTGTAATCCTTGAAATTTCGTAATATCAAAAAAATCGGTGGAGCTTCCGAAGATTCTCTAGTCAATTTAACTATTTGACAAAATGGGGTTTGATTGGGTAAGTATGAAAGAGACAGATATCTATCTGTCAACCTCTGACCACGCTTCCGTTGTATCGATTACACTATTTGTCACGCTCCTCTGCGCATGCATTGTGTTTGGCCATCTATTGGAAGAAAATCGTTGGATGAATGAATCTATTACTGCACTCATAATCGTAAGTTAATTGATCCATATAAATATGATATGCATTTTAAGTGGATTTTGAGTTTGAATGATATATTTCGATATTTATGAGTTTTTCAATATTTTTACGTGGTTGGTATTAACTTAAATGACAGGGTGTTGGCACTGGGGTTCTAATCTTGGTTATAAGTGGAGGAAAAAGCTCGCATCTTTTGGTGTTCAGCGAGGATCTTTTTTTCATTTATCTACTCCCTCCAATCATCTTTAATGCCGGGTAAGTGAAGTTTTATCTTATAAAAAAAATCGTTTTAACCCTCTGACCGTAAAAACAATAAAAAATAGGGCACACTTTAATGCAAATCCTAACGAGGAGATAACTAAGAATTTGCAACGAATAACTTGTGAAGCGATTGCGAATATGTGATATGAAAAAAATGGTTCTTATGTTCACTTTAAATCTCTTTTATGAAAACTACTTTTTCTCATTTGAATTATATCGTGGCTCTTTTTCTGAAAAATGAACATGTATCCATGATTGTCATACTCAGGAGCACTGTTGCACCATTATGTATGCATTCATAACTAACCGGCTTCTGCCTTCATATACTACTCGGGATGTAATTGATGAAATCAAATATTTTTTTTTTATCGATACCGACAAATAGTAAAGTGCAGAATGACAAAATCTGAAAGCATTAAATGCCAAAAGTTGGTTTACTCATTTTTTTCCTGATCTTAACCTTTAGCTGAGAGCATTCTTATCATACTTGTATTTGTGTTTTGAGTGATAGGTGAACTCGATTTATCCACTCTTAAATGCTAGTGTTATAAGCCTCAACTTTGGTGTATTCAAAGTATGTTTATTTATCAATATCATATGTATAAAACAGTTTTCCGGTGACCTGCATATTCTTTTTGGTGATTTTGAGTTTACGATGAATCAGGTTTCAGGTTAAAAAGAAGCAGTTCTTTCGCAATTTCATGACTATAATGTTGTTTGGAGCTGTGGGTACATTGATATCCTTCATCATTATATCATTAGGTATGTATGGCCTTCTACTACCTTGTTAGTTCATTAATGGATAGATATTTGTTTATGCAAAGAAAATTATTTGTCTGTTGACTTTCGCTTTTGTTTCTTTCTTAGTTTTCATGTATTTTCACTTGCACTTTTCACACTTTATTGTTTGAAATAAATCTCTTCAATACGATGAAGGAGAACTCCTTTTTTAGCTTGTTCATGCATGCTCGTACATGTCGAGCATGTCTACAATGCAACAAACACATATTATATGCTCTTACATACTAGATTTAACCTTATTACTGTCAACCTTTCTTATTTTAAAACTGAAAAAAAAAATTACTTTTGTGAAAGAGCATGTTGGACGACTTGAGCATAGCTGACCTCATGCATAGTTCTTCAATTGCTAATTTTTTTTTTATTGATATCCATTGTCCGTGCATCATTATATATTATATATAACATATGAATATCACGCAACTTTAAATTATTCTTTGGAGGAAAACATGCAGGAGTAACAACTCACTAAAGCGATAATTCTCATTTTGTTGTTGTGGCAGGTGCTATTGCCTTCTTCGAGAAAATGGATGTTGGTCTCGCTATTGGAGATTATCTTGGTCTCTCTCTCTCTCTCTCTCACACACACACACACACACACACACACACACACACACACACACGCACAAACTCACATGCTTATTATGACATTACCTTAACCTTGTTCGAACGGGACTTGCTTGTTTCCAGCAATTGGAGCTATCTTTGCTGCAACAGATTCTGTTTGCACATTACAGGTGAGTTATGCAGTTTTTTTCCGGTGATGTCTTAACAAAGAAATGTCTTTATGGCCTCATGAAACCCCATTTATAATGCTGCAGGTGCTAAGTCAGGACGAGACACCATTACTGTACAGTCTAGTATTTGGAGAAGGCGTTGTAAATGACGCAACATCCGTGGTGCTTTTCAATGCAGTCCAAGATTTCGACCTGTCTCATCTCAATACCGGTGTGGCGTTGCAGCTACTCGGAAATTTTATCTATTTGTTTATCTCGAGCACTGTGTTGGGAGTTGTAGTGAGTCTCTTTTCCTCTTCTTTCTCATTTGGAAGTGAATCTACGTTCTTTGAATACTTTTATTTCAATTACCAAACATCTTTGTTTTGTTGTGCAGTCTGGACTACTTAGCGCATACATCATAAAGAAGCTCTATTTTGGAAGGTTTGTGACATTACGCATAATGTGTTTGCGCTTACACTTAAAATGAAATTAAAATTTCCCAGAATGAATAAATTTTATAAAAATACCTAACAGGTTACACTTGTCAAGTTGGTTCATTTGTTTGACGAACCAAACCATGAAGTTATGCAACATTTTAACAATCTTTTTTCTGAAAATTTTGATGCTAAAACATTGTACTAATTCATTGATTGAATTACAGGCACTCGACCGATCGTGAGGTTGCTATCATGATGCTCATGGCCTACCTATCATATATGTTGGCGGAAGTAAGTTTCCGACAAATTTGAAGCAACTTTTTGAACTTGGCACTCTCTTCTAATTATAAAAGCAGGGGCTTTGAGTCATTGGATTGAACTCTCTTTCTAACCTCAAAGGTTGATGCAGTTATTCTATTTAAGCGGCATCCTCACCGTTTTCTTCTGCGGAATTGTGATGTCACACTACACCTGGCATAATGTGACAGAGAATTCGAGAATTACCACTAAGTATGACTAATACCTCAAGATTTAAAACATTTAATCAGTTGTTTCTTTCCTTTCATACATACTTACTGGTTTGTTTTTCTTATTGAAATATATCTTCGGCCAAAATGCAGGCATACTTTTGCGACATTGTCATTTGTTGCTGAGATATTTATATTTCTTTATGTCGGCATGGATGCTCTAGACATTGAGAAGTGGAGGGTCGTCAGTGACAGGTATGTAGTTTGTGTGTCTCTATGTGAGTATGTGTGTACGGACATACACATAAAGATGCATGTTAGCTATTAAGTGGGGATTTTATGTAGAATTGATGATCTCTTTTCATTTTTCAGCCCCAAAACTTCACTTTCCGTCAGTGCAACTCTACTTGGATTGGTTCTAGCTGGCAGAGCAGCCTTCGTTTTCCCCTTGTCATTTTTGTCTAACTTGACCAAGAAGTCTGAAAAAATCGAATTTAAGCAGCAAGTATGAGCATGCTCTATCTTTTCTATTTCAAGTGCAACATTTTTTTACTCGGCCCAACTAATACTAATGTTGCAAATTGCTATTGAACAGGTTACCATATGGTGGGCCGGCCTTATGCGAGGCGCTGTATCAATGGCACTTGCTTACAACCAGGTAAACGATTCATATTCAATTGTATTCTAACACAAAACTTGATATTAATTAGTACTAATTAGTAAATACTAATGCTACTTTGTTACTTTTCTTGGTGCAGTTTACTAGGGAAGGTCACACTCAGTTACACGGGAACGCCCTCTTGATTACCAGTACCATAACAGTTGTACTCTTCAGCACTGTGGTAAGGCATCTTAAACTCCTACAAGTTTGTAGTTACTGTAACTCAAAGAATATGTATTCTAAGGCCTCGTTTGGATCTCGGGATAGGACTATATTGACAATACAATCAAGATTTGTTGAAGGTCCTCGATTTTATTCGATCATATTAATGATATATAGTCCAAACTTAACTACAAGGATATTACCCAGTGCAAGTGTTGAATAATCACGAAAACCAAACATAAGATAATCACATATTGTCAACAAGAAAAAGAATACTCGACTTTGTTAGACATTTTTTTTATCTTAATTGGTCATATTGTCAATGCAGGTCTTTGGCTTGATAACAAAGCCTCTCGTGAGGTTATTGATGCCCTCGTCGAAACAATTATGCAGATCATTATCATCAGAGCCAGTGACACCTAATTCCTTCCATGTGCCATTGCTTGGTGAAAGTCGGGATTCTGAAGGCGAACTATTTGACGACAATGGGCATTTGCAAGCTCGTGGGGAATGTCAGAATACGGTTCGCCCAAGCAGTTTACGTATGCTATTAACCACACCGACACGTACTGTACACTACTATTGGAGAAAATTTGATGATTCATTTATGCGTCCTGTTTTTGGTGGGCGTGGTTTTGTTCCGTATGTACCGGGATCGCCAACTGAACAAAGTGTGCATAGCTGGCAAGGAGAAAACAAAATGTGATGGCATTTCCATCTCAAGAATTCACTAGCCTTGGCTTGTTGCGGGTTGGTAAATAAAATTTAAAGTTTTATTTTTCTCGATTTGGTTACGTGCTTGAGTAATTCGTCAGGTTCTTGTATGTTGCAGGTTGGTAAAACAATCAGTTTTGGTCTTCTACTCCGATCATCGAAGTTCGTTTCGTTTCACTTTTCTACAAAGTGATGAGGGTGTAAATTAGTATATAGATTGAAAAACAAATTTATTTAATTTAATGACCCGGAATTATATATGTGTTGAGAAGTTCTTGAAATTGAGAGCTCTGAGAGGTTTTTTTTTTTTTTTTTTCATTTTTCTGTCCTTTTACTCCTGCTCTGGTTTTGCAGAAACACCAAATCTGTATGTATATTTATGTTAGAAACACATTTTTCTTATAACTATTGATAGACAGTTTTCACAATTTAAATATGAACTTATGATATCTGCCTTCGTGGATTATAACTACTTCGAACTAATTGAAAAATTCATTGAAATTAGTTAACTGCATTTAAAAGAGATAAAAGTTACCTGTCAATAATTTAGTGATCGACAGTTAAAGTTATTAATTTTTTAGAAGAACTAATTCTTCACTATTTGTCGATAAACATCTTATATACCATATATTTGAGTTTTAAGAAAAATATTAAAATTAGACATGAACATTTAAGTTAATTTTAGCAAAACAAATATATGTTATAGTTATGATTGATTCTTTTGTGATTTATGCACAACTAATAAAAAAATAAAGAAAATGTTTTTAGATGAACTATTTCGTGGCTACATATAACGTTTTCTATATTATACATATGGGAGTTAAAAAATCATAAAAATGAATTCAAAATTTTGGGTATTTTTGTAACAAAGCATGTGTAATAATATATGATTATTTGTGATTTTTGCTCGACTGTTGAAGCACTAGTGAAACAATGTTTAGGTGATATAATTTTTTGACTCCTTATATATGAAAATCTTTTATATCGTATATTTCAGTGTTGAATAATATTAAAAAAAAAAATATTTCAACTATTTTTTAGCAAAAAACATGTGCTTCAATATACATTTTTATTGTGACTAGTAAGTACCACGTGCTACGCACGTTATTTACAATTTTACTAAATAGACGAAGTAGAAGATTCTACGCACGTGATTTACGATTTTACTAAGTAAATCAAATGAGATAAGTTAAACCACTACAAAAAAAAAAAAAAAAAAAAAAATTCATCTTGTGACGAATTGCGAATTTGTCACAGTAGTAACAAGCTATTGTGAAAAAATACAAAGTTGTACATAACCAGAAACTTTACGGGACAAAACTACATCTTGTCACATAAAATGTGATTACAAATTATTATAATTGTCATATAATCACATTTTATGTGACAAGATGTAGTTTCTGGGTTGCCCACAAAGATAGAGAATACCGTGAGTCACTGCCACGTGTCCGAGGTAGTCGAAGGGATTGTTCCGTTCGTTAACCTACAAAAGAATTGAAACACTAGATGACACGCCGGGTTTGGCCCGGCGATTATCCTCCGACGCTCAAGTCAGAAGATGTGATAATATAAGCAAATAATAATAATTAATTGCCGAATTAGAGTGTACCTTCCTATGTGAAATGAAACATACATTTATAGGTGAATGAATAAGTAGGACTTTTGTAGAAATCCGATGTGGGACAATGTATTGTCATTTTAAAGGTAAAAAGTAATCTAATTGAGTTTACACACACAATTAGATTAATTAGGGCAATTTGGGCCTAATCTTAATTAGGTTTATGGGCCTAATTATGATTAGACACATCAGGTGTGTACTGTTGTTGCGACAAATTTTACTTCATTAGGTCAATATCTGGTATTTCATAATTCATATTTTGTTGTGATGAAGACTAATTCGTCATTAAAAATAATTCATCTAATTTCGTCCCTTCTATTCATCCAGAAAAAGAAATCATTTCCCACCAGAGTTTCCTCTCAATTTTTGAATACTTTATTTACTATCTATGTGACGATTTGTCTTCTAAATATGAGACTACGTTGTTTGGAGTTTAGGTTGACTTGTGACAAAATTGATATCGCCCATATAAAAGAAAATTATCTAAATATAATTATTTTTGATAATGATTGTATCCCATGCATCAAAATTAAAATTATGGATGGCAATTTAACCCGCCCCGTCCCGCCCCGCCCCGTTTGCTAATGGGCGGGTACGCTTTTTAAAAAATTCACCCGTAGTGGATACGGGACGAAACTAGATTTTGTCACATAAAATGTGATTATATGACAATTATAATAATTTGTCACAAGAAACAACGTGGGTGATTTCTGGGTTAGGTGTGTACTGTTGTTGCGACAAATTTTACTTCTATTAGGTCAGTATTCGATATTTCAGAATTCATTTTTTGTTGTGACGAAGACTAATTCATCACTAAAAATAATTCATCTATAGTCATTTTTTTTTCACTATATTCAACTTTTTTCTCTTTTCTTTATGCATAAAAAATTGAAAAGTCGAATACATTAAAATGAAGCTTTGCAGATCATCAATGCAAAACCCACAAAAAGAAACTAAAAACCCCTGAAATCTAAAGAAAATTTAAAATTGAAATAAAATCTTATGAGAGAATTGCAAATAAAAAGCCAAAGGTTTCATATTATAATGGCGAAACTCCCAAAAACATAAAAGTGAAAACCACTAAAAAGCAAACACTAAAATCGACAAAAATCCTAATTTAAATGAACGCTAAAAATCGTTGACAATCCACAAAAATAAATATTAAACAAATTAAGGATTATAACATACATAAAGCATGGTAAAATAGTCATTTCTCGCTCAAATTCAACACCGTTAAAAGTTTGACCATCGATAATAAAAAAAATAGGGGGCGTTTGATGTTTTCTATACTTTAGGAGGGGTAAATGATACATTTCGCATAGTACAGGGGTGCAAAATGAATTTTAACCATTTTTATATTATAAAATACTATTTTTTAAAGATATTTTAATTACATAAATTATTAATATAAAAATTAATTTTCGAAGAGAAAAAGTATGAAATATAAGTAAAATAACTTACTAACTTTATTAATAGAGTTTGATTTCAGTTTTGATTACAAGAATTTGTTCTTTAAATTATCTGTTAAAATTTATCTATTTATCAAACTCTAGGGTTCAGGAACGGGAGAGAAATGAAAGGAAGGAAACATGACTCCCGAGTTAACATCTTTTTTATTTAAATGGGCTCTTTGATATAACTTCCTAAATACTTCTTTTAATAGAGAGAGCCCAAACTATTTTTCACTATTTGAGAAAAAATCCATTTATCCAATTATGTCTTTGCCACCTCATCAGCACTATCACCAATTATGTCTCTGCCACCTCATCAGCCTTTTTTTTTCTTCGTATTTTACTTTTTTCTCTATCCGATATATTAATCGACTATGAAATATCATCATAGTCGATTAAGGAACTGACTACTAAAAATAAAAATAAAAAACACAACTATGTAAAAATGAAAATCAGACATTTTTTTTTACGTAACAAATAATATACATAAATTGTAATTGATTTATACAACTCGGAATAAATACACAAAAATGAGAAAATGAAATCAAGTAACCTTAATCGACTACCAGAGCATAGTCGATTAACACTTTAATCGACCACCGAAGCATAGTCGATTAACTTAATTGACTACCAGTGCATAGTTGATTAACTTAATCGACTACCAAAAAAACACATAGTCGATTAAGAGTTCAGCCTACGCGAATTTCTCTACATGTGCCATCCTCCGCATGATCTACCAATCAATCCTTGATCTGCTCCTCATCGACACCACGCCGCCGCCTCACCACACCACCACCACCACACTTTCATATTATGACGGTTTTTAATGAAAAAGAAAGTAAATGAGAACCCGTACCACCAACCCAAACAAAACCACCACCATCAAAACCACAAAAAATAAAGTCACCCAAACCCAATCTTCTTCATGACCACCGCCAAAGAGGTAGCAAAATAAAATTAAATTTCCATAATTGCAGCGACAAATAAGAAATCTTCACAACTCAAGAAACTTTGAGTAATCGGAACGCTACTTGAGGTATTCGCGAGCGCGGGATCCTCCACCGCGTCGTCGCCATAGTCTACGCCGTGGATTTCCAGAAGTTGTTCGTGATTTAGGCCATGGCGGTGGCGGAGAGGGAGATAGTGGTCTAAGATCTGTTGAGAAGAGAAGCGAGAGAAACGGCGCAGAGGAAAAAAAAAAGGTCTGGAAAAATGATAAATAATAGGGTTAAAATAGTTATAATCAAATACGGGTAGTTTTAGAATTATGAAAATATCACTTGGATGGAATATTAGCTGAGAGGATTTTCTCTAATTATTTGGGGTGTTTCTTTAACTACATTTTCTAGATAGGGGGTTCTTGCTAATTTTTCCTTAATTAAATCATATTAGAAATTTTGGGTTTTTTTGTCATAAAGTTGCAATTTTTTAAATTAAATCATAAGAACTTTGGGTTTCTTGTATTGAAGTGCCATTTTATAAAAATATATGAATTCCTTCCACGAATTGCATTAATATTGTGTGATGGTTTATATTTTGTACTATAAATGCATTATAAATGCACGATAGTTTTTGGGGACCGGTTTTTATTCTTAACACAATGAATGATAAAAGGTTAATTATTAGCAATAGCATTAGTGTAAATTATATTATTGCCCTTAAAATATGATTTTTGAAGTATATTTTGTGGGGTAATTTTGTACGTACAAAAAAGGGAAGAAACACCAACTACATTCCCACTTTTATAATATGTATAGATAGATTTTGTTCGATTGTTCAAAAATTAATTTTAGGAACAATCTTATTTACGGAATCATCATCTGATTTTTATATGAATTGATATTAATTTTCTACAAACTTTTATTTGAGATGAGCAAAACGGTATTGGGAGTAAGAGGATGTTTGGTTATATTTCTAATGAGATTTTCTAGTTTTCATAATTTCTGATGGAAAAAATAGATGTATTGTTTTTTGTGTAGAAAAATGAGAATATGTTTGGATAAAGTGATATTTATAATTTTATATATGTGTAGAAATGAGACTATGTTGTGGTAAGTTTTCTCAACGAAAATACGTACAAAAGTAGAATATATACGATTGAATCATAATGGTGGTGATTATGATAATTATGATAATTATAAATGTTAGTTGAAAATTAATAAATATCTAATTAAAATTACTTAAAACCCACGCACACAAATTCTCATATATGACTAAATA